AGAAATTTGGTTCAGATTTTAAATCTCAGATTTTGAAGTAGCTGCAATCAGTTAGCTGTGTTAACTGTTCCAAGCAAGCATRTGGCAGAGTATTTCCCCTCTTTAATTCCATTTTCTGCACATAAAGAGTAATCTCTGCTGATGTGGCATCTGTTTGCCAAATATATTTATTTGGAGGACACACAGTAGTCATCTTGAGAAAAGTATGAATATTAAAAAAGAGAAGGAATTGGAATAGAAACCAGAATGAACAGAGCTCTGGCCCAGATACAGCATTTGCTGACTGTAGGGAGAACCCGAGGTTTGGTAAATGCAGGATTGTGTTAGACTTTAAAAGACCAAAGTCTTAGTTTCTAAGCCCAGCACTGACACCAGAAATGACCACCCATCCTCATGGCTGCYTCCGCACCGCTTGTGCTGCGGTTGGGGTGCGTAGTGGGTGCTGTCACCTGCCTCTTGGACTTGCTCCATCTTGATAAGCAACAGGAACAAATGGCTTTTTGGTCGAGCATTTCAGCCAGAACGTGTCTCCAGTCCTGTTCTCCCCGTGTTTCCACTCGTGTTGGCACAGAGAGGTCAGCAGCCACCGTGGTGGACCAGCACTTTGCATCAGAAAACCAGGGCCCATCTCAGACACTGCAACACCCAGGCAATAATGTCTAGATGAGCAGGGCAGGTCACCCGGCACAAGGACCCARTGTCCCCACTCACTCGGGGAGAAAGGGGAACCTTTGTTCCTGATGGAGCCCGGGTGATGCACAGCCCGRCCTACCCGGGGCTTGTCATGGAGCCTCCATATGGGAGTGAGCCTCAATTTTGACTCCTGCTCCTAGGGTAGAGCCAAAGCTGGTTGGCCAGGGGCCATGCAGGCTGAGCAGCAAGGCTCGCACACGGCCAACCCACTCAAAATTGGTATGTCCGCCTTGAAAATGAGCTCGCACCCTGGAGCTGACATACGAAGACTYGCAGTTTTAGCAAGTAAACAAGCCAAAGCACACCAAGAGATGGAGCAATAGTCAATACAGTTTTCGGAATTTAGAGGTGCCAGTTGGTGACACATATTGCCTTCTTGAACAGGGACTTCCCAAGAGTGAAACATGTTGTGATTGATGAAGCACAGAATTTTCATCCAGGAAAAAAAAAAATCGTGGTACCCTCGTGCCCAYGAGGTAGTCCTGAAAAACAATCAAAATGAACCTGGCATTTTTGGGATCTTCCTGGATTTCTTCCAATCCACTCATCCATATGGTTGTGGTATTCCATTTGTGGAATTGCATTCTCAGGAATAAATGATCAAAGGAGTCACTAATGCCAAACAAATATATGATGCCCTGTTTCCTGAAACACAGAAAATCCTCCAAGAATGCAAAACACACAGGCCATATGGGACACTGCAAATGTTGTGTACACAGGCTGAAAGTGCCCATTCATTGCCAGGTGGCTCCAGAATAAAGAAAATAGGGAAACACTTAAAATGGCAGAGTATGTGGCTGGGATGGGCACCAGTTTTAACAAGCATGGCCATTCCTGCAAACATATTGCAGTCCTGKGCAGTACACAGAAGGCAGCAGTGGAGTTTTATCAGCTCTTGGATCTTGCGCTAAATGGACAAGGAAATGCAGGGTAAGGTTGATCTTCAGGACGGCAGAGGATGTTTTAGGAAATGTTATTGTTCCCAGCAGCATCCAACGCTTCTTAGGCCTAGAAAATAGACTGTGTTTTGTGGCCACCCCATGCCTGCAAAAGGGACATCTCCCTCAATCTTTTATTGTATGTGGCATCCAGGGCCAACAAATGGAGCCCATGGACTCCATTTGCTGTTTCATAACAAAAAGATGTTCCCAAAAGATATCTTTAGATGATAACTTACTGCTATGTGAGCCTGCAGATGCGAGAACGCTTTGCTGATCTTTTGTTTGGTGATATTCCAGGGCAGCCTTATGATTATTTGACGTCTTTTCTATTCTGCAGTCTGTGCTAGGAACAAAAATGATGCAGTTCACATGTTTTGTCATGTTCAGGCCTGTAGTATTTCATTACATTGATTTTAATGGTAGGACACCTCACCCAACAGCATGRTCCCAGTTTCTTCGCAATGAGTCTGATAGGACAGATCAGCTTTATCTCATCATGCAGCTGCCCCAGTGCTCACGCTGGCATGAGCGGAAGCAGGACAACGATGCTTAGAGAAGGAGGCAGCACTTCTCCCTCATGTTGCTTCCTTGGGGTAGTTTCTTACCCGTGCACCCGCCCAAACTGCTTAGGTTATTAAAGTCAACGAGCTGTTGCAATACAGTGTAAATGTTGAGAGCTCCGTYCTTACTGTAATGTCAAATCTGACATAAGTAGTATGGCTCTTTAAAGTCTGGGTGCGCAGGAAACTCTTCAGAGTCTACCACATAATTACATCTTTCTGTCTCAAATGCTGACTTGTTGCCAGAGCTTTGCCAATGTTTGTCTTGTAACACAGCTCCTACTAGTGCTCACTCTGACACAAGGTACTACCGCATTTTTAAAAAGCTGAAAAACGAGTGGCATGATATCATTTTCCCTGAAAATGACATTTTCCTATGATTCCTACATATTTATACAAGCTTTCTGATTTTGCACTATAAATGGCTGTCTAAACCACACGGGATGAGGCTGATGAGCCTCCCATCGATCTGAAGAAGCAGGGAAGGTGGTAGGGTGGAAGAGCCCTTTGCAGTGGGACGGGGGATGAGACCACTCCCATAATAAATRAAAAGTAGAAAGGAGTACAAGAGATGTAAACGAGATCCAGAGCAGTTGTCTGCAACTTCTACAGGGCTGCCAGGAGGCTGAGGAGTCAGGCACCTGGTAATGACTTACTCTAAAAGGAGACACTGATGTACTGGACTGTGAATAACCAGTAAATGTCTACAGTGGAAGAGGATCCAGAGGCGATGGGCAAGGTGACAGGCCCATGAAGCTCAGGGAAGAGTRTAAGGTGCCACTAGCCACAGCTGTTGCAGGGAAAGTCGAGTTCATCTCAGCTCAATCRCTGGCCTTTCTTTTAGATATAGGGCTGTAACAGTTGAGTCGATCAAGTGACTGTAATGTAGTCGAGTACATCAACTGTTTGTGTACATGTTTCCTCCTTAAAAGATAATCAAGAGTGTTGATGTCTCCCTGAGTCAGCAGGGCCAGCATGGCAGGATGTGTACAYGCATATATGCAGCTCAGCCCCTCAGAGTGCAAAAAACCAAGAACTAACAGTAACAATTTTGATGAGAGCAACGAGCTTCAGCTGTTTCCAACCCACATATTCCTTCCCTGAGACTGGGGAAGCCAGGCAGCCTGACAGGGAGCATATTGTGAAGAGGGGTAATGGGAATCCCATTTGTATTGAGATTCGGCTGTATATTGCCATGCCTGTATTTGGTTAAGTGTCACTTACACTACACGGTGCTTTCAGTGTATTGCCGTATCACTCTGCTAACTCAGAATCCCATGTATTGCCAACTACTTTTAAACATGTGAAGCTGATACTAAACACGACACCTTCCACACGCGAAATATCTAAAAGAACATGGTCGGCGCCCTGGACTCTGGCATAAGGCTGTGAGAAACATGGTGGAGGGCAGATGCTGAACGACCAGTTGTGCCCACAGAGCAGAATGGTGGATGCCAGAAAAGCATCTGGAGTCACCAGAYGGTGCAACTGTGCCCGTGAGCACCACAGAACCACTCACTGAGACCCCAAGGCCTCGCTGTGGTAACTACAGCTAAAAACGTCGCCTGAGAACATAGCGCACTGAGCACTTCGACAAGCAGCGCGCCACGCTGCACGGCCTGGCCGGGCAGGGGCCAGTGAGCAGCCCAGCGTGCCGCAGCCAGCAGCAGCACCGGCTCCAAACGGCCCAGGAGCGCCTSTGTCCCGGCCCCGCAGCGCGGCGGGCTGCCCTCAGCCTCCCGCAGGGCTCTCAAGGAACCGCGGAGGCCGAGCGGCGTGGCAGCYGCCACCCGCAGTGAACGATCCCCGCAGGCCAGCCGGGCCCTGCCAGGCAGCAGGCGGTTTCCACGAGGCTGTCGCCTCCCTAGCACCCCTGCCCAGCCCTGGAGGGGCGGTTGTGGGGACAGGTCCGCGGGAGCAAGCAGGAGGCGCAAGGAATGGCACAAACGATGGTCCGCGCACAAGGCAGGACGCAGGCAGCCGGGTGGACAACCGA